CTTTTTGTATGTATCTTTATTTATTTAATACATGTTAAACAAACACATTTTAAGCTTTTAATATGTTATTTCTGCTGCTTTTTCCATTAAAATAAAGTGCTTCTTTTAAGATGGTCATCCGCCTATATACTATTTGTCACAGTCCCGCTGAGTCCATTATAAGCGGGTTGCATTGTATATAAATAAAAGAAATGTACCGGTGGAACCCTGTGCGTGTTCTCAAAGAGTTGGTCAAGAACCTCCCGACTGCCGCAACTCGAGATCTCCTTCCGTTCCGAAAATATCGATATTTGAATTTAGGTAAAATTGTCCACCAGTTTATATTTTTGTGTTTCATCGGTATTGACGGTTTCTGTTATTACTGGTTCCTTTCAAATATTATACATGAATGGTTAATAAAATTGGGTGAAATATAAATTACATTTATTGGTTATGCTGATTAGCTTCGTTGGATCATGGTTATTAACAATTATATTTGGATATGTGGACGAAATAAAAAGTTAAAGCTGTATGGCGTTGCTTTTTTTCACTCTGGTCTACGTCTACGAGGGATGTCTTTTAAGTTTTGCATATAGAGACATAGTAGGCCGCGCGGATCGAACGTGAGTTCTGAATCTTAACCTTACTCTTTAGTAAACGTCAGTTCAACGTTTCATAACAATACTTGCAGTGTTCTCACTACAGTGAATTTTTAAGTGGGTCATATTGCAACAACTTCTCTTATTGAGCAAAGAACTGTTACTGCGGATTGGTATACCACCATTTGTTTGCCAAAAGTCACCACCGAGCTTCGAGAAAACAACCCCGAAAGAAGAATCATCCTCCACCAAGACAACGCAAGCTCACACACATCCCAAAATAATTGAATCTGAAAAAACACGTTTTCTCATTCTTTGTTGTCGAATAAAAAGTTTTCCCATAAAAATTGGTGTACCCATTTTATGCGTCCATGTTTTGAATACCCCTTTGAGCAACTTGCAGCAATAAAACCAGACTTAAGAAATATTTCGCAAACCAGGGGTACTTTCGTCTAATATGATTAGCCTGGCCTCCACGATCCCCTGACCTAAATCCATTAGATTTCTTTGTGTGGGGATTTCTAAAAGAAAAAGTGTACCAGACTCCCGTAACCACAAGAGATATGCTAATAGACAGAATCAGGAATGCATGTGATGAAATAAGGCCTTATTTGAATAATGCTATACTACGTTCGAAGTGCGAAGAATCATTTTTTTTATTCAAAAAGCAAAAAATTGCACTAAGAAAAAATTTTCCCTCATTTTAATACACTACAGGTACAGTAGAGAGCGCCCTCTAGCGGATACAGTAAAACTATGCCCATGGTTCGTTTTGTCGTACCAAAAAACCCTTGTATACCAATTTTCACTGTTATACATCAAATATTGTCCGAAATATTTAAAGAAAACTATTTTAGAAAGTAAATTTAAACACCCTGTATTTCAGAAGCCACCCATTTTACGACCCCTGTTTATATAGACTTTATGCATTAATTTTAAAAGTTCTATCGAATCTTAAAGTTATGCAACAATAAACTGAAACACCCTGTATACTTATAAATCGTAAGAATTGTGCTGTAAACGTAAGTGATGTGGAAGAGGGACAAAGGATACCAAAAATCGCAATCAGTTCCTCTAAATCCCCCTCTAAATCCGTCACTGGGTGGTGAGATCCTGCGAGCAGGATGTTGGGTGCGTCCCTATGTTTTGAATGTAAGATGGCCGATATCATAACATATTCTTGAACTGTAATGTCATCCATACAATTAATATAAAAAAGAAAAATAAAACGACCCTGTTTTCTGGGTCACATAAAAAGGGTCACTGCAATACAGTAGGATGTTAACACACCAGTAGAAATGCGTAAATTAACGAGAGATTTTGGAACATTACACAAAATCGATACTATGAGTACGTAACTAATAATAAATTGATCAAAAGACGACAGGTCCTGCTTTCACAGCTGCAGGCTCGTCGATCATTTCATTGTGATCAATGGTTTCACAGATTTTATTTTCAATTGAAATAATTGTCAAATCTGACAGCCTTTCTTGGCACATTGATGTTTTAAAATAACTTTTAATACGATTCAATTTCGAGAAACTCCTCTCGCCAGAAGCCACCGAAATTGGTAGGGTTAGGAATATCCTTAACGACTGCAGATTTTTCTTTGTTATATGGTTTAAAATATGTATCTACCTATGGGCGAGTTTGAAATTTTATTAGAGTCTGGAAAAATGGGAATTCTGTATGACATAATTTCATTGTGTAGATCAAGACCGTCAATATCTTTAGGGCTGTATCGTCAGTCATTCCTACAATTGTAGGACGCCTGTATGGCCTACTTGATTGTCATAGTCTTTTCCATCATTCAGAAAGGCTGGGATATTTCAGGAGTTTTACTGTTCCGTATCAGCGTCAGCGCTCCACTGTTGTGAGGCTATGTTTTCTTTTTGAATCGAAGGAAATTTCAGGCTATAGAACAGACGATGTAAACCAAAAGCTTGAACAATTTGATGCAAATGGAACTTTGTAACATAACCTCAAAACAGAGCGCTGACACGGAACAGTAGAAAACTATGAAAATCAAGGAGGCCATAAAGGCGTACTACAACTGTAAGAATGACTGACGATACCGCCCTAAAAAAATTTCCATTATTTGATTCAGAAATATTGGAACTGTCACCTCTGAAAGCTAAATTTTGACCAGCCAAATACTGCACAATACAAATCATTCTCTTATGATTTCGCGCCATCGCTGTTTTTAAATGTCATACTGTTTTACTATTCGTTATCAATAATCAAATTCAAGCGGATAACCAAATGGAAATGGTATTTACCATTTTGTGTTGGTATTTACCAATCCGTTCAAGCGAGTGTAGTTATCAGTTTGGTTATAAGATCCGTGACGTCACGAATCAGCTGTTATATGTCATAGTTATCACCGCAAAATTGTGGTATTTACCCAACTCAAGAGTAGTTTTATATTTCTGGTTATTATTTGAAATGTGACAAGTTAGAATTTTGCCGGGTATTAGATATTGTTATTGTACTTCAGCTTCATTTTTGAGAAAAATGATACAGGCTGACTTCAGTTTTACCATAAAGTGGAGCACCTTATTAGTTATACTCATTACGGTTGTTGGGGACACTTTAAATGTAGTTCCTATGCTTAACAAAGTATCATTTGTAGCCATATAGCACAAGGATATTAAAATATGGCCATATAAACTCACTAGATGATATCCACCTGTATACGGTTTTGCTAATTTCTTTTTTCATCATTTCTGCTGAATCAATAAATGTTTTCTTTGACATGCGGAAAAATTTAGAGAATTGAAAGTTATCACAGCTACAAAGCCATGGTTCCATCATTAAAAAAAAATCTGAAAAAAACATTTCTCCCATGAATATTAAGAAAGGTTTCTTATTTAAACTTTCCATATACAGTTGTAGACGAAAAAGCACCGATTATTAAGTGATAATAAAAATAATCAGAGATTATATACGCGCTTTTCTAAAATAAACAACTTGCAACAAAACCGCGGTTAAAACCAACGCGTTCAAGCGATTCGTGTAACTGACGTCATCAACCCGTGTGTCATCTTGAACCATATTATAACCGCGGCACATAACACAGAAATTTTGGTTATTCGCTTGGATTTGATTAATAATAGTGCTCTCTTTACTCAAACGCAGCTTTAACTCTATTATTATTATACTATTTTCATGACACACACAACATTGGTTGTGATCACATCGTGCCTATAGGGCGTTCCGATGGCGTGAAATACGCGGCACATGAAAAAAAACGTTGTGTGCAAGGGACCTTAGATTAACATGCGCTAGTTTTCTTTTTTACTTACTTGTTTGTACCAGTTTATTAGTCACCTCACGATAAAATTCACAATAAACGCGCTTGCGAACAAACCACCGTTGGCGGATATGTCATTGCTAGTAGCTAGTGTAGACAACTGACAACATAATAAATGGAAAAAGTAGGCATATTGTCACAGACACTGTAGGCAACTTAGCATTCCACTAATCGCATCTACTCCAGGGTACTGAGGGCAATTGGCAAATGATGTCTATCTCAGGGTACGGAGCGACAAATATTAAATAAAATATTCTTGGAACGTGAACCAAATAACCAAGACATTTTTCTTGTAATCATGTATGACATGCTATAATATTTGAAATCATTATTAAAAGCTATTCGCCTATGCAAAAATAATATAGATAAGTAAAATCAAAGTTGAGCCAGGGGATAAGAGACAAAAAATCATATTAATGTTCTACTTCTGCCATCTTGAGAGACCCAAACGTGGCAATGTTCAAAAATTAGAAACGATTTTGGGAAAACTCGTTCACTTTTCCTTGTATCTATGGACATACTAGAAGCGTTCTATAAAAATTTTAAGAAATTGTAGAAAAACAACGCAATGAGAAATTATTTTCGTGATTAGTATAATATGCTCCGAGTATATCCCCGGCTATATCAAAACTTCTCCCTTTGAAGTGGCATATTAGAATGTTATAGATAATAAAAGGTGTACGGTTCCATTTGAAAAAAAAAATCGTTTTTGTTGTCATGTCAGTATGAATCACCCTGTACCGAACGGTATATTCCAATTAGGAAGCGGTTAGTCCACAATTTTTGTAACATTTTTTTATTGTTTTATTGTAATGAGACATGGTCCAATTAGATACTGTAGGCCCTGTAGCCTGTAGGCATGTCTAATTTCTTGCAGAAGTCACGTCGCTGGATGGCTAGTTCATTTTGTAGACTTCTTTCGATGTTAATCACTACACAGGCTTTAACTTTTAGCTGCTATTTTATATTATTTAAACTTATGCACTTTTCTAAGCTAATCACATTTCAGGCGTTTTACTGGTTGCATACCTTTCAGACAGATCAACTCGATACGCACGCACAATCGACTTAACAGCCAGCACTATTTCCCGTTAGATGGCGCTGATTATGCAACTTTCACGTGACGTATGCATTGTTCTATTTGTGTTGTGTTCTTAATCTCAGTTTTCCATAACATACATGATCAAAAAGGTTGCGATGTAGTTTGCAACAAAAATAATCGATATCGGACATTGAAAAACACCCTGTATAGACTTGTTGCGATGTGTAAGTGCCGCCGGTTTTAACTAGTGCGAGTGATTCTTCGTCGCGAAAGACCAAAGTCTTGTTATGTGATATTATCGCAAGTTGGTACGTTCTGTATTTTGATCTTCTATTGTGTGTGCTGATTTTGACAAAATGAGAATGGTTAGTATTATGTTATCAGTAGAGTGATATCTAGCATGGATCGCCCACCGTGGACTTGTGGTATGTTAAACATAATTTGTGACGTCAAAAATCACGCCAACGCCAACTCTACTAGAAAGTGGAAAAAATACAAGCGAAATTCAGATGAACTTCTTACAATCCGCTACATTGACATGTCCAAAATGTGTTTTCAAAAAATTGGACTGTATAATATTTAGAAAGCAATGATTTATGGATTATATGAGGTTGATAAGGCGTTTTTATTTTTGTAGAGATAAATCTTCCCACATTTCAGGTTGCCGCTTTACAGACAGCGTACAACATACAGTCGGCTGTCTTGGAATGTCAAAATGTATTTCCAAAAATTTGGAAAAAATGGCATGAAACATTGCAGTAAAAAAATCGGCCTACTGTTTTGCAATATCACAATGTGTTTGCAAAAGCTTCGACTGCAATTTGAGTTTGATGCTGAAATTTGGACTGGAAAACTTTTGTTTAATTGATAAAATTGAAGTAAAAACTCCAGATGAACTACAAAACAATGTTTTGCAATATTAAAATTGATTTACGAACAAATGTAAAACTTTTGGACAAAGTATCATTGCATTTCCTAAATAGATTGTTGCAGTAAATAGTGAGAAAGTGCAAAGATTACAAAATTTGAAATGTACCTACCGTGAAAATGATCTATTTATTTGGAATAAAATATTGATTAATTGCTTTCATTTTTGTAGAATATTGCTCCCTTTCAAAACATAAAATACTATTCACTTTTTAAAGGGAAAACTTGATTATTCATTCACCTATGACAATGTTTTCTGGTTACACTGATAAACTCAGGATTTGTGAAATGACAATTTTTGGGTGTATTTATGTATTTAGACCTTTAAATCAGATCTAAAAACAGAATTTATATATCACCTAAGAAATTCGGTAACATCTACTTTTATGAATTACAATATGTAACATCTCATATTGCTGCAGTTCTCGGCGTTTATGCGATGACGCACATATATAATGTTAAGACGTGTCTATTCCTGTTTATTATATGCGAGCTCTATGTTTAGAGAGTATATTGCGTTTATTAGAAGACTAATAGCAGCCGAGTCAGTTACGTTTTCTGTGTTGAAGAGTACTGAGACGTTCTGAGTACTGTTAGTTTTTGTTAAAACGGTGTGTTGTTTTTAGTTTATTGTCATTCATGGACAATAACTATAAATTGTGTAAATAGGGCAAACAGTGTTTGTTATGTGTGCGGAGAGCCTATTTCCCAAAAACGTACTTTTACTCCCCTTGTGTTGAAAAAATACAAACTTTATTTTGGAATTAAAGTTGGTGACCAAGATAAACTATGGGCCCCCAAATATGTTGTAAGACTTGTGTAACATTGTTAACAGGTTTTTTAAGAGGCGACAATTACAAAATGCCCTTTGTGGTACCAATGGTTTGGAGAGAACCGAGAGACCATATGACTGATTGCTATTTTTACCTCAAAAATATTAAAGGTATTGGACCAAAATCAAAATATACTGTTAAGTTGGCCCACTTCACGATTAGTACCAAAATATGCCTGTATAAACTAAACATGACGAAACTATTTACTTCTAAAACAATTTATTTTCTCAAAAACATTTTAGATACACTCTAGTCGTGAAAAACACATTTGATATCACTTAAACCTATAAGTAATAGAACATCTGAACAAATAAACAATGTGCGAATAAATGAGCGAAGTTAACAAAGCAACAATTGAAAGAATACCATTGGGTAGCATCACCTTTATTTTTTATTACGGCTGAAATTCTTTGGGGCATAGTGTTAACCAAGTTTTGGCAAAAATTTGGTGTAAAACAATCCCATATTTCTTGAAGCTTGTGTCTCAGTTCGGTGATTGTACGAGCATGATGTTGTCGTAGAACCTTTTTCATCTCGTGTCACAAAGTTTCAGTAGGTGACAGATCTGGACTGCTAGAAACCCATTTCAAAGGTGGTACATTAGTTTCTTCCATCCATTTTATAAACCTTTTTTGAGGTATGGCACGCTGCACCATCTTGCTGAAACACAAAATCTTGGCCGGATGTAAAACATTCTTCCATTACTGGTAAAAGCTATTCTTCTAAAATTGCCAAATATTTGTTTGTATCCACATTTCCATCAATAAAATGAAGTTTTTCTACTCCTTTTGATGACACACTGCCCCAGACCATAATGGATGCTGGAAATTTCACTTTTCTCTTCAGACAGTTAACATGGAATGCTTCATTCTAAAGTAAAAGTATGGATGTTAGTGCAAGTAAAATATTATTGATTTTGATAATAATTTTCCAGATCTACAATTTCGCGGATGGAGTAGCTTGGTTGTTGTAAAATCCATTTTTTTTAGTTCTTTTTTAAATGATTTATTTGATTCAATTACTGTTAATGACTCTGGTATGAAGTTATAGAATTTTGGTCCCAAGAAAAACAGAGATCTTGTGTAATGGTTTTTGATGTTTGTGGAATTGAATTTTGATTGAATCTTGTTGGGTAGTTATGAATGGTACAATTCAAGTATTTCGAATATTTGAAATAATGTACCTTGTTTTGTCCATGTCACAAAAAATTATTTTACTTTTGTTCACCAGTGTTATTAATGTAGGTATATTGCAGCCTAAAGATATTACCATAGTTATATATTCATCTGCCGAAACTTTGTAGGATGTAAATTAAGTTGAACTAACATATAAATAGTAAGATAAGGAAATCTACTACCACAAAATATACATGTAGACATTTATTTTTTTAAGAGTGCCATAAAAATGTCAGGGGATTACATTTTCCTAGCAAGATGATAAAAGTAGACAAAACACGATATTTTATATTTGGATCAGTGTTTAATCCAGTGGGCTTTGTAAACAAATTCTAAATTGTACCACTAAAACAACACTGTCAAAGGACAAAAGCCTCAGATGTGATTCTGACAAAACTCATCAAAAGACATAAATGGGTGAATATCAGGTATTTGGGTTTTTAGTGGTACCTAAGAAAAATTACTCATTTCAGTTTCATATTCATTACCTCTTAAGATTATACTATTTGTGATGCATCTTTGACAGGACCAGATAGTTTTTTGATTTTTAGAGATTTTACAGCTACCAGCGGAAAATGTGTACTCAGGGGAGTGACACTATACGCAGGGTAGTGACAAACTGAGACAGAAGAGTGACAACTTCTCATGTGAATGATCTTAAAGGACACTTTATAAAAGATTATAAATACCAATAGGTAAATAAGTTCAATAGTTTTTTATTGAAAATAACAAAATCCTACATGTTCTATTAGTCTCTTAAAAAATAACATTTGGATCAACAGAGCGAACCCTGCTCACACAAGAACTAATATAAATAAAAACCACTATAGCTGTTTATATCTTGCAACTTAATATAGATAGCAATGTAGGTACCTGAGTAATAATAATAATAATAATAGAAATAAAATTATAAAAACTTAAAACAAAAAATTGACATAATACTTATGGTCAGTGTTTGAATCGCAATCAGTGCTTATAAGTGGTTGATATTTCTTGCTTCAATCAGCAGGGATATGACACGCTGTATAACTTTGGCACTTATAACCAAAACGATGGGGTGATAGTTTTTGTAAGAAATAAACTGCAATATAATCATGGTACATTCACTTTCACCGATGGAATCAAAATTTTAAACATATTGATCCAAATTAACCATAACAAAATTGAGGTATCTGCAATTTATCGTCCGCCATGTTCAGAACCCCACGAGTTTTTGAAGAATATCGATTTTTTTTTCAAAATCAAAATAAAGTTCATTTAAAGCAACATATTTTCTTGGGAGATGTCAATATAAATATTTTGGACAATGATCCCATCACAAATGAATACTTGAATATCCTATCAAGTAACGGATTTCTGTCCTATATAAACCTACCTACAAGGTCCATCAGTGGCACATGTATAGATCACTGCTTTGTGAAAGACCTATCCAACAAAATTACTTGTACACCAATAATCCTAGAAAGCGATATTACTGACCACTTCTCCACTATTTTACTGATATCTTCAAATGAAAAACATTCTAACATCCCTACCGTTAATAACAACCAGGAAAATTACAAATTTTTTGTGGACAATTCAAAACTAATATCAAATGTCAAACAAGAATCCTGGGAACAATTATACTCTATAAATAATATAGACAAAGCAACGGGACTGTTCATAGAGAAAATAAAAAACTAATAGATATTAGTACCAATAAAGTAATAATTAGTCACAAAGAGAAAAGCAGAAATGCCTGGATTACCAAAGGATTAATAACATCGGCAATAGAAAAAGAAAGACTATATAATGTAATGAAACTAACGCCAACTACAGAGAATACCGACTGTTACAACCAATATAAAAATAAATTTATAGAGCTTGCAAGGCAAACCAAACGAAAACATTATCTAAATAAATTGAATAATAACTTAAATGATCCTAAGCGGCTTTGGACAACTATTGATGAGATTACTGGGAAAACAAAATTTAAAGAGTGTGTCACTGAGTTAAATACAACATCGGGAACAGTATTAAAAAATACTCAACAGATATGCGATGAATTTGTACAATTCTTTACTGACATAGGCGAAAATTTAGCAAGTAATATACAAGCAAATGTACAAAATACTCAGCCTCCAAAAAGAACTTTGAACTCATTTATTTTGAATAAAGTCGAGCAATGTGAAGTATACACCACTGTTATGTCCTTAAAAAATCGGAAAAGTCCTGGGTTCGATGGTATTAAAAGCGAGCATTTGAAAATTATAGCCGAGGACATAACAGAACCACTCACTTACCTAATCAACAAATGCTTTGAATCTGGCATATATCTCCCTCAATTTTAAAAAAAGGTAATATAATACCGATACATAAATCAGGAACAAAAACAGATGTTAACAACTATAGACCAATATCAATAATATCCAGTGTAGCAAAGGTTTTTGA